GGAAATTTTTGAAGTCCAAGTAAGCTGGCAGATTGGGAGGGTGTGTATCATCTTGAGTGTAGACAGCACCTTGAGGTGAACTAGATCACAGGTTGACTCTATCCATACGCGCTTCATGTCTGACCATTTTTGTTGCCCAAAGAGCTCAACAGTAAATCCGCTCCATTGGTCATCAAACAGCCTTATTCTATTGCGGTTTCAGGTTGAATAGTGTGCCATCGTGCCTGCTCCACATGCTGGCTGCACATGTCTCTCCAATGAGCACGTCCTGCATCTGTAGCCTCTGCTCCAACGAAGACTCGGCCTACAACTCTGGCTTCTGAAAGGACTGCATTCTACCACATTAGACAAGAGAGGGGATGCTGAATTGTGCTGCATTTATTATAATGGAAAAATAAAACTATTGCCGTGGTATATGATGATTAATGACCTGGTTTATTACAAATTCAAGCATGAGGGGCAGCTGACTGATGTCTCCTGGAGGCAGGTCAAACAGGAAAGAAGTGTTCCACACAGTACAGGACCGTGCTTTAGTCTCTCTGCTGCTCATCAAAACTCCCTCGTGGTGCAGATTGATCACCTGGTAGTCTATATGCATATACACAAACACAATGTGTCTAACTTTCGTTAAGTACTAGCAGATTTTTAGACGATTTAGATCTTAAATAAAGCATAGAGTGAAAGTGTTCAAAAAGAGTGAAATACATTTTTTAAATTTAGATGTTTAGCTGGAATTTACACTGGACTTGCACCACATTTAACTTTGCATATACAGTATATAAGGGTTATTCACTATACTGCCTCTTATTATTCACGAACAAGTACTTTCAGGTTCTGAGATAAAATAAATAGATTATCTGAGTCATGCTTATGTGACATATTGTGCAGGAAACTGATATCATGAAATCACTTGGATCTATATACAGGATGAGTTTGCATGCAATAGAAAAATAAAAAAATAATGGCTTGACAGACTAATGCATACAAAGATTAGACCTGACAGATCAGAGCACCAGTGGAGATTGGAATGTTTCCTGAGGATTGTGAATAGTGAAGGATTAAACCACAATGTCATTAAAAAAGGGATGATCTCCTGATGCATTCTGGTCCTGTAAGACATCATTTAATCCCTTAAACATTAAAAGCAAACATAGGGAATTACTTTACCTCTGCCCCTGAAAGAAAAAAGTTAGTTCTA